TACTACGACCGATATACCTACTACCTGCTCCCTACTGCCGATTACATACTACCTACTACCTACTACCTACTACTAACACGACTACTACGACTACGACTACGACTACAACTACTACTACTACTACTACTACTACTACTACTACTACTACTACTACTACTAGTACTACTACTACTACTACTACTTTTACTACTTACTACTACTGTACTTACTACTACTACTACTACGGAATACTACTACTACTACTACTACTACTACTACTACTACTACTACTACTACTCCTACTCCTACTCCTACTCCTACTCCTACTCCTACTCCTACTCCTACTCCTACTCCTACTTCTTCTTCTTCTTCTTCTACTACTACTACTACTACTACTACTACTACTACCACTACTAGTCCTACTACTAGTACTACTACTACTACGTGGACGACGACTACCACTACCACTACCACTACCACTACCACTACTACTACTACTACTACTACTACTACTACTACTACTACTAATACACTACTACTACTACTACTACTACTACTACTAATAATAATCATCATAGTAATAATAATACGACTACTACGACTACTGCTACTACTACTACTACTACTACTACTACTACTACTACTACTACTACTACTAACTACTACTACTACTACTACTACTACTACTACTACGACTACTACTACTACTACTACTACTACTACTACTACTACTACTACTACTACTACTACTACTACTACTACTACTACTACTACTACTACTACTACTACTACTACTACTACTACTACTACTACTACTACTTGCAAGCATCCTCGCTAACCCTCCACCTCCTCCTCCTCCTCCTCCTTAGTTATCCTTCTCCTCCTCCTCTTTCCCCTCCTTCCCCCTTCCTCCTCCTCCTCCTCCTCCTCCTCATCATCATCATCATCATCCTCCTCCTCCTCTTCCTCCCTCCCTCCTCGAGGAAACTGGCGAAATCTTCAGCCTCCCCTCTCCCCCGCGGCGCCGCAGGGGCCCCTGACGCCGCGAGCAGCAGGGCCAGCAGCGGGAGCGTCCCCGCGGCGCGCGGCGGCCGCGCCATCGCGCCGCCAGGCGAAGGGGGCGCCACAGCAGGCGCTGGAGGGGGAGGGGGGGGCACCGGATGGTGGCAATTGGCGCCTTCATGCGGCCGATCCGGGAAACCCTGAACCCAACAATGTTGTCACCTCTTTGGGGGCGCACCTCTTACTTCCGCCGCCTTCCGCGGGCCTCCCGCTGGCTTCCGCTGGCGGTAGCGCCCTCGCTCTACTTCCGCAGGCTTCCGCCGAGCTTCCGCCGCCGTCCGCCGTGGAAAAAGGGACGACTCCTTCGACCCGCGAAGGCGAGGTCCTTTCGTTGAGCAGGGACCGACCGTCCCGGCATTCCCATAGTCCTACCACGAAGTGTTCTTAGAACCCGAACATGTTCTGAGAACAACAACAATGTTCTTAGAACAAGAACCCGATGTGTTGAATCGCGACAGTTCCAGCCAGAAATGTTCTGAACACTTCGTGAAAACCACAGAAGGTTCTTGGAAGATTGTTTGGTAGGGCTATGGGCGCGCCAGGACGCTTCGCGACTGCCTGATTTCTGGAGCGCCCCATGCAAGGTCAGAGTTGAGGAGGTTGGCACCCTTCCCTGCGGCCGTCTTCGTTGCCCGGAGGACCGCAGGGAGTGCCGTGGCCTCCTGCGGTGCCTGCTGCCCGCATGTTGGATCGGTGTACTGATGGGAACGAGACCCCGGCACCCCCTGTGATACAGACTTGTACCCGTGTCCACTGCGTCTTGGAGTTTCGAGCTCCCTCCCACAGCAACCAGCAAAGCAGTGGATATGGATGAAAATCTTGCCCCTAGAAGCTAGATTTTCATCCGTATCCACTGCTTCCCAGAAAGTCCCAGACGCAGTGGATATGGATGTAAATCGTGCCCGCAGAGCAGGGGCCCATAGATCCGAGGCTCAGCGACTGGTGTTTGGACGTTTTCGGCCCCCGGAGACCTCAAAACGTCTCAGGATGAAGAGGTGGTCCCGGGGAAGGGGTCGAGACCTCTGGGGGTCACGTCATGAAAGACCATGACGTCGGGGGTCCAAAATGCCATTCAATTGAGTGGAGGTTGGGCGGAAGGGGGGGGAAGCGAGCTCGTCAACGCACCCCCGGGGCCTCCAGAGCCACCAAAAAGCCCTAAGTCGGGCAAAACGGCTGCCGGATCAAACGTCCTCGGGCGTCCCGTCCACCCTCGCCTGTGCGACTCTCCTGCGGTTTCTCTTGCCTCCACAAGAGCACGCTATCGAAACGCTGCTGCGGAGCTGCTCGAGGACAGCCAGGCCCGGGCGGCGGCACCGGCAGACCTCTTCCCCCTCTGGCAGCGAGCCCCCGCTGCGCCGAAGGCATACGCCGCGCTGCGCGCCACCGGGGCCCACTGCGGCGCCGAGGAGGGGGGCAGCAGGCTCACCCCGAGAACCGGGCGTCGGGTGGCAACAGCACGGCTGGCACGTCCGCCCCCGCTGCAGGCCCCGGGGCCCCGGTGGACCGATGCGCCGCGGGACGCGTCGCCCAGGGAGGGGATGCCGAGGGCTCCGTGCGCGATTTGCCCCACGGGGCCGTGCCATGCTCACGACGGTTGAGCTCTGGAGCGGAGTCGGCTTCGAGGGCCGACGGAAGGGACACGCACCAGCAACGACACGCCGCGGCTGGGAGCCCACCAGCGTGCTATTCCACCGTGTTGTGTCCGACGGCCTTGTGCTTCTTCAACAGCAGGGAGCCGAGGGTAGTTGGCCAGACGCGCGCACTCTTTCTAGGCAAGGGGGGCGAAGGAAGGGGGGAGACGGCCAACGTGGCCCTCCAGCCTGCGCAGACCCCCCTCCCCCGAAGCGGCGGACCGGGGATCGAACCAGTGAGCACCCAATGCCCGTCGGGCGAGCACATGGCGGGCCGACCGGAGTCGCCGTGGCACCCTCCCCACCGCCAATTTGCGCAGCAACTCCTGAGCAGGCTGCCCAGATCGTCGCAACATCACTGCTCGAGCTGGCCACCACTCGATCGCGCTCGCTTCGCGAACGGGTGCGCCAACGGGGAACTTCCCGCAACAGCGCTGGCACAGCACGTGCGCTGTGAGCGAGCGGGTATGTACTCGCACACGCGAGGCTCGGTGAGCCAGGGGATGAGGCCAGACACGCAGTGTGCGGTGGGAGACCGCCCGCACGCCCAGCCGGGCCGCCCCCCTCAACAAATGGCAACGTGCAGACCCGCCGCGAGGGTGCCGTCGAGAGCTGGCCGACGCTGGGCCACGTGAGGATGGGCCGAAGAGAAGCGGACGCCAGCGGGTGAGCATCGTTTGGCCGATCACTCTTCATCCCTAGTGGCGTGGCCTTGGCACCGCTGGGCGACCTTCTCACTCAGATGGGGATGCATGCCTGGTCCTCCGGGTTTCGCGTGGCCGATCCCCAGCCAGCTATACGATGACTCAGTGGGCATGGGGATAAATCAAACTATGCTAAAGGGTACCCTTGGAAAGCCACCTCGCCCTTGTTCTCGGCAGTGACGGACCCAAAATGCCCACCCCAACCAAAGACTAGCTCCCCACCCCACACCTGGCCGAGTCTTCATCGCGCCGCGGATCCGTTCTAACACAGTCAGAGGACCCGAAACGGGCCCCTCCGGGGCCGACACTGCAACCCCGCAGAGGCACTCCGGGCGCAGCTTGCTCGAGCCCACGCCCCGGTTTTTCCTTCCCTGGGGCTGGCGGCTTTCCTCAACCCCGAGCTGCGCTCTGACGGCCCTGGGCCCAGGAGGGCCCCCCCTATCGAGGCCGAGAAGGCCAACATAATGCCTGCTGCCGCGGCGTGCCGCCTCACGGCGCCGGGGGGTCCCGGGGCTGGCGCGCCGCCGCCGCGCCGAGGCCGCGGCGCGGTCGACCGCCGCAGCGGCGTGCCAGGCCCGGTCGGCAGAGGGGGAGGGCGAAGGGGCCGGGGGGCGGGAGGGCGGGAGGGGCGCCTCCACGACGTTCCCGCCGTTGGCCATGAGCGCCTCGCGAGGGCGCCCAGAATGTGAAATGCCCCATCTTGCCTCCTCCCCCCCTTCCTCGTGCTCCTCCTCCTCCTCCTCCTCGTCGTCGTCCTCCTCCTCCATTCCTTACAATTAACTTCTTCCGGTCGCACCCCGAGGCCAGTTTTGGGGGCGGGCCGGGCGTTTCGCCCGAGACTTTCTCAATACTATTTATGACCCTGAAGCTGAACAATTGGCAACAGCTTTTCCCATGTAGGGCGGGTCGTTTTCAAAATGTGGCTCTCGCCACGGCGCCGCGCACATTAGTTTTAAACAAGTTGCAAGAGCTTCACGGATTGAGGGCGGGCCGTTCAAAAAGTTTAGCTCGCCGTGGCGCCGCGCACTTTCGTTTTAACAAATTGCACGAGCTTCACGGATTGAGGGCGGTTCCTTTTCAAAGTGTGGCTCTCGCCTGAGAGTCGAGCACATTCGTTCCTGAAAGTTGTAAGAGTTTCACTGAATGAGAGCGGTTCCATGTCAAAATGTGGCTTTCGCCTTAGCGCCGCGCACACTCGTTTGTAGAAGTTGCAAGAGCTTCACGGGTTCCCATGACAAACGCACCAGAAATGGTTCTGGAAGGACCAAGATTATGAGGGTGCAACAGCTATGTTGACTCGCGGTGTTGAAGTCCCAGGAATGGCGTTGTGGCACGAATCAGGGTCGTGAGGACGCAACAGTCCAGCTTATCCGTGGCGTTAGCATCCCGAGAGCAATGTCTTGACATGCTTCAGGGTCTTCAAACGGCTGTCTTCCAACGAGGCAGATTCCTCAGTGGAAATGGACCGTTGTAGGGGCCTATGAAAAGGAGCTTGGAGGGAGGGTTCGTTCCAACATCGTTGATGACTCTTGGGTTTACAATGCTCCTCCTCCTTCTCCTCCTTCTCTTCCCTCCTCCTCCATTCAACTCCTTCATGCTGCTCCTCCCTACTGCTACCTCCTCCCTCTTCCGTCCCCTTGCCTTCTGGATAACTTCTCCTCACCTGACCACCAGATGTGTCGATAGGGACAGCCGGGCGCTTCACCTGAGACTTCCGCACAATGCATCTGATCCTGAAGCTTGAGAAAATATAACACAGCTACAATAACGTAGGGCGAGTTGTTTACAAACTGGAGCTCTCGCCTTGGCGCCGCAAGCATTCGTCTCACGACATCCTACCCGATACTGCTTGCGATCACCTCGGGCACCACGTCGTCGCGACTGGCTTCGCGCTCCCCCAGCCCGCCTGCAAGAACAAAAACTGCGACCGGCTGCCCTGTGCAACGACCCGCGCAACATGCACTTCTCAATGTGTTGGACGCGCCGACCACCTGGGCCGCCGACAAAGCACCCAACCAACCCGACAACAAACCAACCGACAAAGACGCAACGTCAGAAAGCACCCAGCCCTAAGTTTGCAGAGTGCCAGTGGTCGGGATATCTCATCTCCCTATCTCTCTCTCTCTCTCTCTCGTCATCTGTATGTTTCTGTAGCTCGCTCGCTCTCTCTTTCTCTCTCTCTCTCTCTCTCTCTCTATATATGTATACATGTAAATACATACGTAAATGCATACATACACATGCATCGATATTTGAAAAAGCGTGTTCTACCGCTGCTGGCGGAAAACGGGGGGGGTCACTGGGGGTCCCAACCCGTCCCCCCCCCCCCTCCCCTCGAAAACTGGGGAGGGGTCACTACCGGTTCGAACCCCTCCCCCACCCCGTCCATCATGAAAAGAGGGATCACTACCGGTTCGAACCCCCCCCCCCTCGAAAACCGGGAGGGGGTCACTACCGGTTCGAAACCCCCAACCCCTCGCCGCCGGCAAACGATTTCCGCTTCTCGGGACAGTTGGACAATGATGGGGATACCGGGACAATGGTGGGAACGGTGGTGGTGGGGACTGTGGTGCGGGGACAGTGGGACAGTGGTGGGAACTGTGGTGGGGACGGTGGTGGTGGAGACAGTGGTGAGGGGACAGTGGTGAGGGGACAGCGGGACAGTGGTGGGGACAGTGGGACAGTGGTGGGGATGGTAGTGGTGGGGACAGTGGTGAAGGCGGTGGTGAGGACGGTGGTGGGGACGATGGTGGGACAGTAGTACAGTTGGGAGAATGGTTGGGACAGTGGGGACAGTGGGACAGTGGTGGAAACAGTGGGGACGGTGGGACAGTACAGTGGGACAGCGGCGGGGACAGTGGGACGGTGGTGGGCACAGTGGGGACAGTGGGACAGTGGTGGGGACCGTGGGGAAAGTGGGGAGAGTGGGACCGTGGTGGGACAACGGTGGGAACAGTGGGGACAGTGGGACAGTGGTGGGGACTGTGGGACAGTGGTGGGGACGGTGGTGGTGGGGACAGTGGCAGTGGTGTGGGGACAGTGGGAATGTGGTTGGGACAGTGGGACAGTGGTGGAGACAGTGGTGCTGGGGACAGCGGTGAGGGAGGTGGCGAGGACGGCGGTGGGACAATGGGACAGAGGCACAGTGGGGACAGTGATGGGGATAGTGGTGGGAACAGTGGGACAGCTCAGTGGGACAGCGGCGGGGGCAGTGGGACAGTGGGACAGTGGGGACAGTGGTTGAGGCCGTGGGGAATGTGGGGAGAGTGGGACCGTGGTGGGAACAGTGGTGGGGACAGTGGGGACAGTGCGACAGTGGTGGGGGCACTGGTGGGGACAGTGGGGACGGTGGTGGGAACAGTGGGGACAGTGGTGGTGAGGACAGTGGTGCTGGGGACAGCAGTGGGGGATGTGGTGCGGACGGTGGTAAGGACCTGGGAGTCGTTTGCCGGCGGTGAGTGTGGGGGGGGGAGGGGGGGGGGTCGAACCTGTAGTGACCCCCCCCCCGGTTGTATGGAGGGGGTTGGGGGAGGAGGGGGTAGTGATCCCCTCCCGTTTTCTGGGGGGGGGGGGGGGCAGGGTTCGAACCCGTAGTAGCCTCCGACGGTTTTCCGGAAGAGGGGGGGGGCGGAGCTCGAGGGGGGGGGGGAGGGGGGGGGGGCCTGGGGAAGGGGGTGGTGTCCAGCAGGGGGGAGAGGGATTTTCCAAGGGGGGGGGACCCCCTGGGTTCCGGAGGAAGAGGGGGGGGGGGGGGGGGGGAATTTTCCACAGTAAAGCAGCGGTGGATCACGCTCTCTCCGATAGTTCTGCCACCGCGCTTTTGGCACGAAGTGGAGCGCCCCAAGGCTCATGCAGCACTGAGAAGCGGAGGCTGTGCTGCTGCTGCAGCAACGAGAATTGTACGTCTTCAAGGGCCCGGACCAGCCGTTTCCCAGACCGTCTTGGGCCGTCCTGGGCCGTCCTGGGCCGTCCTGGGGTTTCCCAGGCTGGCTCTCATGGTTTCTGGGGCATTTCCTGTGGATCCTCTGGACGCTATGACCGCCCAAAACGGTTCAAGAGAGCCCCGACTCGCCGAAATATAACTCAAAAACATTGTCAATAGCCTCGAGACGGCCCCGACACCTTCAAGACGGCCCCAGAGACCTACAACCAACAGCACCCCACGAGGGCCCTAAGAGGCCAACATCATTGATTTCCCTTTGGTTTTTGAAGGATTTGGGCGTTCTCGCATTTTCGGCTTCCCGACGCTCCCAGGCGGCCCTAGAGGCCCAAAGACCGCCCCAAGAGAGCCCAAGAGCCCTCCAAGAGGGCCCCACAACGGCCCAAGAGGCCCCCAAGACGGCCCAAGAGGCGCCCAAGATCGCCCAAGAGGGCCCCAAGACGGCCCCAAAAAGGGCCCAAGAGAAGGGAACACGAACCAAAGATCCGAGCCTTCTGCTCAAAAGGCCGTCAGGAGGCCCCAAGGCCCCAAAGAGGCCCCCAAGAGGTCGCAAGAGGCCCCCAAGAGGAGCAACCGAAGCCTCAAGGGCTCCCGAAAGGTACCCCAAGAGGCGCTCAGACTGCCTCCAAGAGGCCCCCGACGGGCCTCCCACGAGATCCCAACGAAAATCCAATAGGCTTCGTACCCACAACCCAGGCACCGTGACGGGATGGACCGAAGGCCAATCGATTTGTATTTACAGACGGCCAACTGCGAAAACCCATCATCGAACACGATAACGTGCCCTGGCTTGCTTCCGCCGCCTTCCGCCAGCGGAGCCGCCGCCGTCCTACCAGGAAGCTGGACACACGTGGCCGGATTCACATGCGGAACACCATGATCGGCCACACGCAAGAGTGACCCTGGGTAAGAGTGACCTTTGGTGCGCGGCTTGTTGAGGGCCGCGGGGGGACCAAACACAAGCGAGCAAGACGCTACTGTCGCACCGCACGCGACGATCGGGGGCCCCATTGGCCGCGCACCAAAGATCACTCCAGCGAAGGGTCACTCTTACGTGTAGTCGACAGGAGGAGGGCACGCGATACAAGCGCGAGGGCCCAACCTACAAGGCCACCAAAGGGCCGAACGCTGGAAAAACACCTGGCCACATGTGTATCCAGCTCTCGCCCAGGCCGGCCGCACCGCGTGTACCCAGCTTCCTGGTACCTCCGCCGGCAAACCCTCCACCCTCCGTCGAAGGCACGGTGCCCCGAAGGAGCGAGGCCCGCTCTGAGGCACCGCTTAGCCGATCCCCATCCCCCCTGGCATGCATGGCGTTGGGTCCCGCTGTCCCAGCTACTACCGCCCTAGATGGGGATACAGTATAGGGGCCCGACCACAAGGAACCTTCCCCAGGAAACCCAACCCTGAGACCCCAGGACGTCCATCGATTTTTGGTGTGGGAACGGCACGCTTTCAACGGCAAAACCATCGAAACCCAAGGAACCCAGGGCACCCGGGAGGCAAGCAGGGGGTTTCTTGGCATTGGCCTCCTCTGTAATATACATGCTACCTTCCTCTCGGGCTCCGCGGGCCCCATCCCCACTTTGGGGGGGGAGGCCAGTGGGGAAGAGATACCACGGTCTGGAGAAGAACGGGATGGGCTCAAATTGGAACGCCCCAGACCTTTCCTATCCCGCCCGTCAGAAGTGAAGGGGCCCCGGGACACACAAATGAATCCACACAAATAACAGGATTCCCCATATTTCCCAATATTTTATTTTCTTGGCTTTTATCTTCCCCCCCACGTCCCATATTTTCCCGCAGTTTCGGAGGAATCGACGATTAATCGTGTCTGTGTGTTTCTTCCCCTCCTGAACCTTTCCTGTCCCGCCCGACAGAAGTAGAAGCAGAAGGGCGGCCAGCATGGCGCTCTTGCGCTCGAAGCCCATCTCGACAAGCCTGCGGGCGCCCGGGGAAAATAGGGCAGCCTCGACCGAGCTTGTCCTCGTCGTCCTCCTCCTCCTCTTCCTCCTCCGCCTCCTCCTCCTCCTCCGCCTCCTCCTCCTCCTCCTCCTCCTCCTCCTCCTCCTCCTCCTCCTCCTCCTCCTCCTCCTCCTCCTCCTCCTCCCTCCGCCCTCTCCTCCTCCTCCCTCCTCCTCCTCCTCCCTCCTCCTCCTCTCCTCCTCCCTCCCTCCTCCCCCTCCTCCTCCTCCTCCTCCTCCTCCTCCTCCTCCTCCACCTCCGCTCGAGAATGCCAACGCCGTGCAGGCTCAGAGGCACAAGCACAGGCACGGCAGAGGCGCGAGAGACGGCACGCTTTCAAAGGAGGCCTCGAGCCCTCTTTCGATCGTCGCGCGCCGGGTCTGGGCCCAGGTGGGCTTCGCCTCACCCTTCAAGAGCATACGTGCCGATGACTGCGACGAGCCGCGCGTGCTCCGATGCCGCCCGCGTCGTCTCCGTGGTACGTGGATCTGGCACGCCTGCGTTGCGATATCGGACCGGATCGGAAACGGACCGGACCGCCCCGGAATCGCCCCGAACAGAATGGAAATCGGTTCGCCGCGCCTGGCTCTGGCTGGCTCTGGCCGACGCCGAGAAATCGAACCGAATCGAATCGAAATGCCGGCAGCAGCCAGCGACTGGCATATCATCGAATCCAGATCGTAGGCGAAGTCGGATCGCATCGAATCGAATCGCAACGCCTGCACACGATGATCACGCAGCTGCTGAGGCGAGTGCCCCGCACACATGCCGAATCCTCGGCGGGCATATCGCGCTCGGTCGAGTCGGATGAATGCGGCGCCCCGAGCTCCAGGAATATCATGATCGGATTCCTCCTCAACCCCAAACACTGCTCATCATAAGTCTGGCTTTTGCACTCTCGAATCCGATTCACGCCCTTGAGCAATATCCAGCTCGGTCCTCCTTTCAGGCAGACCCATGGAGGTACACTCATCGCACCAAGCCGCCGTCAGAAAGAGGGGGCCGAGCGTTCTCACACTGCCCCTGGGTCCGTGGCTGCCATGGCGCGGATCGCGCCCCGCGACCCACCCGCACCCCACCTCACGACACAACCGAGACCCACCCGCGGCCCACCCGCGACCCACCTCGCAGCCCACCCGCGACCGGCCCTCAGACTTCCCTGCCTTTCCGAGCCGGCACCCGACCAGACCCCGCCCCGAGACCCACCAACGACACGACGACGACGACCCACCCGGGACATGCGGCGAGCTGCTTTGCACTGGCATCGGCGCGGGAGAGATCCGTTGTTCGTCCTCGCCCACGTGATCCGTCCACGACACGCTGTGATCCGTTGACGGCACATAAGTACTCGAGGCCGAGGTCAGAAAAAGGCAACAGAGACCCAAAAAACCTCGATTCTCGAATCGTCGAACTTCGATGTCTTCACGGAGATGCTGCTCGGGTGCCTCGCGCGGGTGATATCTTTGTCCAGGGCGGCAGAAGTCTGCGCAGGGCTCGGAACGAGGGCTCCGCTGGCGCGAGTCCACTCCAGACCGCACGCGTGCTTGCTGGCCCGAGGCGAGGCTCACGCCGCTGCGTTTCTCTCATCATCCTCCCCCCGCCTTCTCCGAGCACGACAACGGCGGTGACAACCAAACTGCCGATAGCCGCCGCTCCACGGGCCTCCCCTGGGGTGCCCTCGGCCAGGATCGTAAGGATGCGCGGCAAGGATGCAAAGGGCCCTGGGACGCCATGCTGACGATCTCCGTGCGGAGCGCAGCAGCATGCCGAAGGATGCCGAATATCGAAGGGGCAAGGATGCAAGGGTGGCCTTGGAAGGTGTCCACATCCTTACTATAATTGTGGATGCCACGACAGTGGACGCCCTAACAATCCTATCATTGAATTTGAAATCTGTCGGAAACATGTTCTAAACATGTTTTAAACATGTTGTTTGCCTGGTTGAAACATGTTTAACACATGTTTAAGACATCTGGAAATTATTGGGCAACATGCTGCCTCTTCATTGATCGTCCTCCACAATACTATCATGGATCATGGTTGACTGTACGTTCTGGCAGGAACTTCGAGGAGGATCCAGCCGTAGCGGCGAGGGGCACGAGCAGAGCGGCACCGGTGATTCTCGGCACCGGTGCCCTTCCTCCGACGAGCGCCGGGAAGGCGGCCCCCCTGGCCCCCACCGGCTCCGTGTGCGCGCCGCCAGGGGCGGCGGCGTGCCGGAGATCACCCGGGCGCGGTGGACAAGAAGGGCGAGGAAGGGGCGGGGGCTATGCTGTTCCCACCGTACTTAAGGACCACATCCCAAGAAGAATGTCGAGCACCCGGAAAAGTTTCGAAGGAGTGTCGAAAGAATGTCGAAACAGTGTCGGACGAGTGTCTCCCGGGGCCCGACACGTCAAAACCCTCGTTTTTTGTGTGCTGTTTCAGGGGTGCTCGAAATCCCTTTTGGTGATCTAGGCTAAAATAGGTTGGAACATCATAAGGCGAACGAGGAGCACGGAGCATGGATTGGCCTGCCTCCAAGGAGGCAGGTCCGACAAAGAAGGCGGCTGAGGCAAGAAAGCAGAGGCTGTCGCCACGGGCAGCGAGCGGGACAGGACAAGCGCGGCATGCGCCCCCAAGGAGTGGTCCCCCTCTAACCCGCTGGCAACAACACAGCCTTTCAACAACAGGGGAGAGGGAGATGGGGGAGCGATCACGAAGGGTAAGCGTATCCATACCCTCGCGATCTGGATGATTCTGGGGCGCAATCCCGTGGATACGCGGTCGCACGGATACGCTCCGCGCGGGCCATCCGCGAAAAGACGCACCGTACATCCACGGGGTCGCGGCCCAGGGGCCCAGCCCGCGAGACCATGGATACGAATATGTTTGACGCCCACAAGGGGGGAGTTGCGAAGGATCGAGGACCGATGGCCGCGCTTTTCTTTGGCGTGAAACGGGGGTGCCTTCTGGAGGAGGGGGAAGATCGAGGCAGGAGGCTCGATGAGCAGGAGGATCGAAGAGGATGTACCAAAGACCCCAAACTTCACCTCGCATGCTTTTTCGCCCAGCGGCGGCGCTGGCTGCCGCCGACCGGCAACGGGCTCCGCTCAGGCTGCCGCGAGGCGCCGCGCTTCTGGGCACCTACACCGCCATGTTACCCTACGTCATGTAATGGCATGACACATCATGCTACGCTATAAAGCGCAATGTCACGATACAGTATACACTGCAATAACATGATATCAGAGTGAGGTGGCTGAACCGAACGGTCGTTCACTGTCCCTGGGTGCGTGGCTGAAGTGGAATTCCGCGATGCGGATTATTGTTGTTGTTGGTGCTGTTGGTGTTTACTGTTTGTTGCTTGTTGTTTGTTGTTTGTTGTGTGTTGCTTGTTTGTTGTTTGTTGTGTGTGTTGTTTGTTGTTTGTGGTTTGTTGTTGTCGTGGTCCCACCCGCGACCCGCCCCGCGACCCACCCGCGACCCCCCCCGCGACCCACCGGCGACCCACCCGCGACCCAACCGCGACCCAACCCGCGATCCACCCGCGACCCACCGCGACCCACCCGCGACCCACCCCGCGACCCACCCGCGACCCACCCGCGACCCACCCGCGACCCACCCCGCGACCCACCCGCGACCCACCCCGAGACCCCCCCCGGCGAACCACCCGCGACCCACCCCGCCACCCACCTAAACTTTCGGCGCCTGCGGCGGGCTTCTTTTGCATTCGTTCCAGGCTTCTTTTGCAGTTGTGAGGGCCACGAAGTCCGCCGGCTCGACACCCGCGTCACCCGCGCCCACCCCCTCACTCTTATCCGCAATTGCGGGGTGCTACGTGCCCGACAGGGCGCATTGCATGCCATGCATGCTGTGCTGTGAAATTCTATGCACATATATGGTATGATACGCTGAGCCATACCATGCTATGTTTCCTGTGAAGGGCGATGCTACCGCGTTATATGGTATAGACAGACACGGCATGCCAGTCTAAGCAATACAATGCAATGCTATGCCATGTTTTGGAGGCAGTTTTGGAAGCCTCTTGAAGGCAGTTTTGGAGGCCTCTTGGGGGCCGTTTGGGGTGCTCTTGGGGTGTCTTTGGGGGCCTCTTTGGGGCCACGTTGGGCACCCAGGGGGCCTCTAGGGAGCCTCCTGGACTCTGTTGGGGGCCTCTTGAGGCCTCCGGGGGGCCGCTTGGGACGGAAGGCTCGCATTGTCGTTCGTGTTCCCCCTCTTGGGCCCCTCTTGGGGCCCTCTTGGGCGATCTTGGGCGCCTCTTGGGCCGTCACGGGGCACTCTTGGGCCGTCTTGGGACTCTCTTGCGCCGTCGTGGCGCCCTTTTTTGGGTGCTTCCTGGGCCGTCTTGAGCTGATTCCTGGGGCCTCGTGGGCTGTCTTGGGCCGTCGGGGGCATGAAACAGCAAGAACACGACAAATCTTCAAAAACCATCGCAAGCCAGCATATTTGTTTCGCCGCCTGAGTGCCTCGTGGGGAGTCCTTTTGAGGGCATCTTGGCCGTCTTGAAGCCCTCTTGGGCTGCCTTCAAGCAATGTTGGACCCATTTTGAAAAGCTCTTGTGCAGTGTTGGGCTCTCCTGGAGCGTTCTTGGGCCAGCTTGGCGCCCTCTTGGACGTCCCTCGGGCCGGGGGGGATGCATCGACCTGGAACTGGCGATACATCGCCGATAGATCGGCGATTGGCCTCCGATAGTGAATCCGCACCTTCCTGAGCAGGTTTGGGCCAGCGGGCCCCTATCGGCGATCCATGGGCGACTGGGGGTCGATGCGTCCCCCCTATGCCTACCCCCCCCCCCTATCGTTGCCCCTGAACACACAGACACTGACGCACGCACGCACGCACGCACGCACGCACGCACGCACGCACGCACACACACACACACACACACACACACACGCACGCACGCACGCACACGCACACGCACACGCACACGCACACG